CCCCACCAGTGTATGAATGTGTGTGTGAATGGATGAATGATACACTGTAGTGTAAAGCGCTTTGGAGTCCTTACTCTGAGAGGCGCTATACAAGTGCGGGTCATTTATCATTTGTGTTGACCGGATAGTTCCCGTATTTGACCGTTTATTTTGACGGAGAAAGAATAGAAAGAATTACCCCGACGCAAGCAGACGAACTGACATTTTATTCTACGCACATCGCAGATGTAGCTAAAAGATTCCCATCTGAACATCTGAGCTGGACACTACTCAGCGCAGCTCGCTGTCAGCGCATATGTGCACAGCAAGCTGAAGATGTGGAGAGGGGCTTGGAGCGCGTTGCAGAACCAGAGCGCATGCGGGAAGGTTCCTCCCACTGAAGCGAGTGTTTTCCAAACCCGGTCTCTCAGAGAGACTTGTCACTTAGAAAATGTTCCCTGATGATGAAACTTTGGCTGAATAGCGCTTGTTCCTGTCTCCAGTGTGGCGACTAGGGTTGTCACGGTATGAAAATGTAACCTCACGGTTATTGTGACCAAAATTATCACGGTTTTCGGTATTATCGCGGTATTTTTTAAACGGTGTTGCATATGTTCAGAAAGCATTGATAGTCCTGTTCTACACAAACTGAAATAGTTCTGAAAAGGTTTAACAGTGTTTATTAAACCTAAAATAACACAAAGCCTTAGCAAAAGTGCAACTTTTCACAAGTAAAGGAACAAATAGCTTCTTTTACTGGAACATGTTACAGTAGTCAGTGCAGGTTTAAATTATACAAATCCAAACATTCAAAACATAAACAATATGTAAACAAATCAAAGAAACACCACTTGTTTTCTCATATACTTGTTTTCTTCATTATCAAAATGAAAATCTAAAACTCCAGTCCACACTTGACTTGAGCGCTGTACAAGTCAACCTTAAAAAATATGTATTTAAAATAAATAGCCACTTTAAACAAATGACTAAAATAACTACTACACTATGTAATCAAATCCAAATGTTCAAGTATAAATGGCATTGAATAAGTAAACAAATCAATGACAAGGAACTAATTGTATATTTCTCTTCATCATCAACAAATAAGATGCTTCATCCAGCAACAGGGTGTCCGTGACACGGTTTAAATGCTGGCAGAGGACGCTGCGGCTGCAGGATATAGTGACTCGTTGCATTCTCCCTCAGCCAAAAGTCCTCACGTCATGCATTTAAGCTAAAATGCTAATGCTAACTTACCTTGCACTGGCTGTAGAGACGTGGGTGATCGTCACGCAGATGTGCCATGAGATTTGAAGTGTTGCTGCCTTCTGCAGACACTTGTTTCCTGCACGTTCTGCAAACGGGATAGCCGTCTTCTATTAACTGTCCCTCAGCATTTTTCAGAAATCCCAAATATGCCCATACTTCCGATGTAGTCTTCTTTGAGGGCTGATGGATGTCCTGGGCGCTGCCGTCTCCTCCTTCGGCCGTTATTTCAGCTTCAAAGTTTTGGTGCCGTTGCAAATTAAAAAGTGCGTGTGCGCGCCGCGGGAACTTCAGCTGAAGCGACGGTGGCTGGTAAGGGTCATCGCGCCGAAACCGCGGCCACGGTAAACCCACCGAGATAATTTAGTTTTTTAAAAACTGGACGGTTATTTTTATTGTCAACTTTTTTACCGGGGTTTACCACTATACCGGTTACCGTGACAACCCTAGTGGCGACACATCCAGGAGCCGTCTGAGGAGAATCCCAGAATCTCACATCCTCGTCAGCTCAGAAAGCACCTATGATTATGCACAAGCGTGACCCGTCAACCCGGTCTCACAGTAAGACCGGGTTGGACCTGTTCAGGTTTACGCAGACAATCTTTACATTTAGAATTAGCTTACAGATATAAAATTAATTCAGTAAAATATAAAGCATTTTATTTAAATATCCATTCATTATTTTACAAGCACAGAGCCGCATCAGATGGATGGAAGAGCCACGGGTTGTGACATGTTTTCTCCAGGACCAGAGAGGATGCAAACTCAGTACATCTCTTTTATTGTGAGGTAATAATTTCTCCGAGTTTTGCGGTTGCGGGCGGGAGTAGACATGCACGCTGCAGGTGCGGGCGGTAATGGTCAGAAATTCAGCAGGAGCGGCATGAAGAAAACAGTCCCGCGCAGGGCTCTACTGCTGCGTTTAAGTGTTTCAATTTTTTTATGAATTCGATTAAAAATAAAGGCGCCCGGCCCGGCCCGTGTCCGAGGTAATTGCACAGTTGTTGGCCCGAAGCCCGGCCCTCGGACCGTCGGGCCGGGCTGAACTGAGGGCCTACGGCTTCAGTGCAGGGCTCTACCCACAGTGCTGAACTAGTTCTGGTGGTATCTGATAACTCTGCCGTGGAGGTGGTTCTGAGAACGTGACTCAGAAACATTCAGCTCCTCCCTCCTTCTGCGTTTCCTTCATAAAACCACCAAGACTCCACGCTTTCCTTCAACTGACACTGGAAGTTCTTGGCACGCACACTTCCGCAACACACACACACACACACACACACACACACGGTAACCACACTGCACCATGCCTTATCTGTTGGTGGACTTCAGCTCTGCTTTCAACACAATCCTCCCAGCCTTCCTCCAGGATGAACGGTCCCAGATGAACGTGCCTGACCTGATCTGCAGGTGGATCACTGACTTCCTGACTGACAGGAAGCTGCAGATCAGGCTGGACCTGCAGACCATCAGCACCGGTTCTCCTCAGGGCTGTGTCCTCTCCCCTCTGATCTTCTCCCTGTACTCCAACAGCTGCACCTCCAACCACGAGTCTGTCAAGCTTATCAAGCTAACAGCCGACACCACCGGCATCGGCCTCATCTCTGACGGGGATGAGTCTGCCTACAGAAGGAGGAGGAGCGGCTGGTGTCCTGGTGCAGCCACAACAGCCTGGTGCTAAACACCCAGAAGACAGCGGAGGTTGCTGAACTTCCTGATGCAGCTGAAGAAATTCAACCTATCAGCAGAGTCGATGAGGCAGTTCTACACCGCAGTCATCGAGTCCCTCCTCACCTCTTCCATCACCGTGTGGTACGCTGGAGCTACCATCAGGGACATGAAGAAGCTGCAGCGTGTTGTACGCTCTACTGAGAAGGTCACTGGCTGCTAACTCCCCTCCATACAGGACCTGTACACCTCCAAGTCACTGAGGTGTGCAGGTCAGATAACAGCTGACCTGTGTCATCTTGGACACGGTCTTGTTGACTTGCTCCCTTCTGGCAGGAGGCTCAGATCCATCTGGAACAGAACCTCTCACCACAATAACAGTTTCTTCTCTCTGCTGTCGGACTCATGAACAACAATCGTAGACCTGCCCATTCCAGCTGCTTTGTTTCAGTCACATGACCCGGTGTTGTGTTAGCACCTGAACTGACCTGAACCTACACTGACTTGCATATATTAGTTATTTTCTAATTATTGTGAACCAGCTCACACTTCCAGCAATAAAACCCTTCTGATTCTGTCTAACTACACTGTTTGTCTTTGATGTCATCAGGAACAACGTTCAGATTCCTGCTGGCACCCGGGCATCTTCCTGAATGGAGTATGGATGAAAGCAGCTGAGTGCACGTCTTTATGTGTGAGTAGAAACCAGGGCCAGGGTTTGGGCTGATCTTAAATGTTTCTGACACGCTTGAATCATGTTGGAGGAGGGGCTGATATGCCACCTCTGAGCACCAATCCTCCTGTAACTCACTGCTCTGAACACACATCCTCACGTGTCTCATGGAGAAACCATTCAAACACCAAGGAACCTGAAAATGGTCCGATAATCCACATTATACAGAAAAGGAGATTACAGAACTTACATGGTCATCGTTGGGTAGGCATCACTTAAAATAAGTCAGAAATGTTTTATTAAAGATGGCTTTCCTTTTCTATCTGCTTGTCATTTTCTAAAACAACTGAAGAAAGAATTTTATTCAAAATATGAAGACTAACTAGTTACAGGGTTAGAAAACATCACTTCCGTACATTGGCTGTGAGAGTGTGTGTGTGTGTGTGTGTGTGTGTGTATGCGTGTGTGTGTGTGTGTATGCGTGTGTGTGTGTGTGTGTGTATGCGTGTGTGTGTGTGTGTGTGTGTGTGTGTGTGTGTGTGTGTGTGTGTGTGTGTGTGGCGGTTGTAGGGAAGAAACAACGTAAAACGTACACATCTGTTGCTCACCAGGATGACAATATTCTGAAAGCGAGCCCATGAAACATTTTTATGCTAGATACTGGGTCTCCTGGTTTTGCTGGTGAAAACTTTGCCTGTTTTTCACCTTTTTCCCTGGCAATCACATGTTGCACCCCATAACTCAGCAACGATTTATCAACAGCTAGCATTTTTAAATCACGCTTGAAAACTCACTACTTCAACCTAGCTTATACCACGTAATTATGAACATCACTTTGATCAACATTGTTTAAAAATGGAATTCACAATTTAAACTTCCGTACTATTGAGGTTCTGCTTAAAATGTTTTTCTAATTTTTAATCTCCCTGTGTCTTATTGATTTTTAGCTGTTAGTTCTGGGGATTTTTGTTGTATTTCTTTTTAATCTTTGATCTGTGTTCGTCCGACATGATTGTATAACGCGGTTTAAATTCACTAACATTTTTAGTGTACAGCGCCTTGTTTGGCTGTAATGCCATGTTGAATGTGCTTTATAAATAAAATTGGATTGGATTGTTGTGTAATATCACAGATCAAATGAATAACAGATCAAATGAATAACAGATCAAATTAAGCAGCAGTTGTCTTTAAACATCTTTGGTATGTTCTTGCTGTGTCTAGTTTCTAATTCCATTTTTGGTTCTATTTTACTGTTGTCTGTAACAAGTATGGACTGGAGGACCGCCAACATGGCGACCACATCAGTGATGGCGACATGATCACGAGCCCTACTAGTTCATCAATCCTGTAAGACAAAAGCTATTTTTCTGAACTGAGGCTGTTCAGTGGAATTATTTATAACTTCAGCGCAGAAACGGCCTAAGGAAAGAAGATTCCCCACAGAACAACGATCAGCTGCTGGAAACGAGTGATGAGATGTGAAGACTCACCATGAGCTTCGCAGAGTTGGACCTGACTCCAGGCTTCTCGGAGGTCTCCAGCAGCACACTCCACCTCTACCCTGCGCCCTCCAGCTCCATGCACTGCTGCAGATCTGGGATCAGATTGGTGTCAGGGGATGGTCCTCCTCCAGCTCGGCCGCTTCAGGAGCTGTCATGGCTTTCGAGTCTCGGTGTCACCGGCTCCATCCGCACCTGAAGAACAACACAGATTCGAGCGGAGTCAGCGGGCGGGTGGCCATAGAAACGCTGTCAATGAACCCGAACGGGAGATTTCAACGGTAACTAATAATAAATATCCGTCCGGAGAGCAGGCTGCATCCGTTTTAATGGAGGGGAGAGCAGAGCTTTACCTGCAGAGATCCTCCTCGATCCAGGTCGGAGGAGATTGTGGCTCCGCTCCATTTACCTCCGAGGATGTGACGCAGGGGGGCGGGGAGGGCTGGAGGAAGGCTGCAGCTGATGATGGTGGTACAAAACAACGTTTCTGTTAGAAGAGATGATGCAGATGTTGTCTCGCGTTTATCCAGACCACTGATGGATGTGAAGTCGGACCATCAATGATTAGAAAACAAGACAGAAGGTTCAGCCCGGCCAAACAGCAACTTTTAGCTGATTCTTAATATGTGTAAAGAATGGGTCGTTTACATCTGAACCATAAAATGTGAGATTCCATAGAAATACACTCCAAAAAGACATGTGTCAAAAATCAACACAGGTGGATGTGTTAACAGCATTTTGACACATGTTGTGTAGATTTTCGCACACATTGTGTAACTCTCCTATCAACTGACTGACACAGTAAAAGTGTTATCTTCCGTGCTTGGAGTTGTGGCAGGAGATTTCACAAATACAACCTGCTGAAACCCAATTTTGTATTAGTATTTTTGTATTTGTTTTATTCATATTATTTAAATTAGTTAAACCTCACTGACATGTATACAAATTTGCAAGATTAAATAGAAATTAAATAAGTCTTTACAAATGTAATTAAAAACAAAAGGTAATTTTTACAAATGTCTGGTGAAATCAAACAGAAAAGCTATGCGTAGTAAAAAAAATCTGCAAAAAATGACGAAGGTAAGATGACACATCTAAACATTTTCAAAGTTTAACGGCAGCTTTTTGCCATCCAATCATTAGGCTTCTTAAAAAAACGTACACAAGGGGGCCCACTATTAGTGGGCGTACATTGAAGCTCTTCATGATTGGCTGATGCGGAGGTCATCCTTCCAATAGCAGCTCGCTTAAGAGCTAAGACTAGACGAAATAGAACTACAACCTGGATCAATCAGAGTGCTTGCTACCATCTTCAAAAATGGAAACGAGTCATCAAGGAAGATTTATACTGTTCACACTACAGAACAGCAAATAACCCACATCTTGTCTGAGCAACCAGGTTTTGCAGTTCTGAAACATCATGCTGACTTCCAAGAGTTTGTTGATGTGGACAGTACAACAGACATCAGGAATTTTGACAAATTCCAGGTCTTTCTATCAAGTGTCGAAGCATTACCCCAAACAACTGCTGAAGAGCTCCATCAAATCCAGGTATAAGATTTTCATTTTATTTGTGTTATATTATTTTCTGGGCTGTAGCACTGGAAAAAATACCTGAAATCCTTATCTATATACTGTATATTGTCACATACACTTGGTAACAGTGAAATTAAATGGCAAGCAATTTTAAATTCCAGTGATAGCCTTCTGCCAGAATGTTTCTTTTTTAGAATTAGGAGGGTTGTGTCACATTCAGGCAGACTGTCGGATTTCAGTCACTCTGAATGAGAATCGATCATAAAAAGTAGGGGAGGATTCCTCCTGTTCACAAACCATCTTTGCTCTAGTGTGTTGGTCTAATGTCGTCAATTGACCAATCACAATCGAAGAGACGGCATGCTGCAGACGACGAGGCAGAGCGGCGTTCACAGTGATCAAGTGCTGTTGCTTTAACATCTCGCTGCAGTTTTGAGCTTAAAGTTTGTAAAATCAAACAAAGTCACCACAAAACAACAGTTTTCTGTTAAGGACTTTAGCAGATTTGCCATCATAGATTTTCCCAAGGTGTTTTTTTTTACGGGCGATACATTTTTTTTAAATCTAAAGTGGGTTTATCTTATATCAGAGCTGCTCTCATATGAGCATGTCTTCATCTGCTCTCATGCCACCCCTTCCCAATTTCTCAGGCTGAACAATAATATTTCATCTTTAATAGCACTATAGCCCTCACACTCCCTTACATCACCACTGAACAAGACTACATGTTTCTGCAGCAGGTTGTGGAGGTTCAGCTCAAAATAAAAGTTTACACTTTGGATTTATTTATGTATGTTACAAATATTTGCAATAATCAAGCAGTCCTAACTAATGTTTAGAATAAATCTAATTTCTTCTCATATCCCCTTTGCTGCCTTCAATCTAGCATCTTCCTGTGGTAAACGAACTGGGAAGTCTGCAGATACTATTACAAAGAAAAGCACCAAAAATACTTGAGGAACACAAAAAAACAGGGAGCCTGAAAACTGAGTCAAGGAAGCTCCTTGTCAAAGTTTGCATCAGTCACTTGGTGAAGAAGCATGGATTGTAAGTACATACTTTCATACATACATGCATACTACGTATATAGAGTGTAAGTGTATACATAGATATGCATTTTTATTTCATTCATTCAATTCACTAATTTAGATTTTGATTTCTGTTATTCCATTCAACCCCTTAAGTTACCCAACGAGTGCTGAGAAGGTCACTTTAGCCAAGACCATCGTCGCCACTTTCCCATCCTTGAGAGTTCAGATTGAAGGAAAAGGAGAGGGATTTGTAAGTAGAATTTGCCTAAATCAAAAAAGTGTCTTCATTATTAGGGCTGGACGATATAGAAAAAAGCATATTGATTAAAAAAATCAGGTCAATATCAATAATTATTGAAAAATATTGATAAAAAATGATGAAAATATCTCAAGTGCAGCCCTTCCCATTTTATGCTATTCTCCAGCATTACCCAGCAGCGGCAGACAGCTGTGCTGCAGATCATGTGTAAAAATGACAACACTGGTGTGGTGTGTAGCTCTGAAGCTTTGTCCTAAACACTTTTTTTTTCATTTATATTTTATTGAACATTCAGTAGTCATGTTACATGAGAACCTCTTTTCCAAATACATCCCCAAGTTTCTGCTTGAATAAGCATTTTCTGTGATTCGATATTTAAAACGGGAAAGAAAAAAATCTAAATATATAGGAAATGGGGGAACTTGGTCTTTAAGCTTTTATTATTGTCAGTAATCCAAACTAATGTTTTGCTGTTTGATTTTTTCATTCTTTTTCAACACAGGAGCATTTTTATGATCCATTATCACATTCTGGATTCCTGGAAATGAGACTGCGTAATATCCGTCGAAAGCTTGAAGCGGGTCAGCGTCGTTACTCAAAGCGCATGATAAGCTGTGATACTGGAATGCAATCAGAACAGGACCAGGGGGAGAGCAGTGCAACCAATGAGTGGATCACCCTCATGAAACGACTCAGGCCCTCTTCAGAGAACATCTCTTCAATTAAATCTGCTATGGAAAACACATACACAAGGCGTAGGTCATGGATATCAAAAAAGAATCCCACAATGGCTGAAATTTTAGAAGAATATCCACGCTTTCTGGACATGCCTAATCTGGTAGGCCTCATCATTTTCCTTCTTTAGTTGAAGCAAATGCCTGATGTGATTAATAACTGTTGATGTATAGTTTAAAACAACTTCTCTTTTTATTTAAGCTGGATATTGAGTTTGGAAGAATGACTGATGGCAAGACGGAGCTGTTTATCAGACGATGGGAAGTCAGCATAATTCCAAAACTGAAATCTTTGGCTACCATGGAAGGAGGGGATGTTTCATTGCTAACAGAGGGGATGGAAGACCAAACTGATGGTATGTGTTTTCTCCTTTGAAAGTGTCTGCTGTGTAACACTTATTAATGTATTAATCCTGAATATCTGCTGGTGTGTACAAAATTATCTTGTACAGCCCTTTCAAAATTCTGTCTGTTTTTAAGAGCTATTCCATTCAGAAACTGTTTTTTTGGTCACCAAGTTTCATTTGCAGGCAGAACGTGAAAATAGTCTTAACTCTTCTTTCCTGCATTAGCTGCAAATAGAAAATCTAATGGTCCATCCATCTGTCTAAATATGTCCATCCTTACATCTGTCCAAACAGACATGCCAGTCCATTTTTCTGTCCAAACATGCATCTGTCTGTTCATCCATCTTTCCCACTGCGTTGACCTGTCTACAAATATGCATCCAAAGTGCTAACTTGCTAAAAGCACTTCTCATCTTTTATATACATCCAAATGCGTCCATCACTTTGTCCATTTTTCCATCTTTTTAACAACGCATCTACCTGTCCATCCATCTGTCCAACCAGACGCTTACTAGGGTTGGGCATCGTTTGATTTTGAATGATTCCGATTCTGATTCAAATTCCTCATTTTGATTGCAGTTCCTATCGATTCCCGATTCCATCAAGACATGACATGTTTTACATGAGCTAGCTAACCACAGGTCCTACTTGATGAAATAATCTTAACTTCAACATGAATTTTAATTCTATGTACAATACCATCACCTTCATTTTGACAAAACAATGTTTTGGAGAGGAAAAAAAGAAAAAGACTTGCAGCACAACCAGTGTTGGCAATCTTTTGATTTTGAATATTGTCTTAATTTGTCCTTTCAATAAAATATAATAATTACACAATAAATTAGAAAGTTTAAAAATGCCAGAGAAAAACTTATTTTTCTGAGAAACTTCTCAAAATAACGTGTGGAACCCTTCCTCCTCCAATCTGCAATCTCCAGTGTCTGGGGCCTTCTGGTTTAAACCAGCCAATCAGCAAGCAGGTCATTAGCATATTAATTTCCTGGCCAAGTGGGAGGGTTAAATTGCTCTTTTCAGAGCAAGGCTGATTTAGGGGGTTAGAATGGCCTGTATCAATTTCTGAATGGTGAAAACTCCAGAAAGCTACTGTAAGAGTTGTGACTAATTTTAAATTTACCTAATTTAAAATGTTTAAATATATTTGTGTGCCTGTTCTATTTTTTCCCCAGATGAAAAGTGCTACACAATGCTGGTTGTTCTCACACATCTTCTGCCACCATTGCCTGGGAGTCGATGCAGCATTAAGTCTGCAATATCGTTCCTGGTTGATTTTGTACCGGTATGTATTCAATTCAATTAAAGTTTATTTATATAGCACCAAATTACGACAAGAGTCGTCTCAAGACACTTAACATGGTAAACATTCCAATACAGGTCAGTTCATTAAGTCAATCAGAAAAAAAGTAACCTATATAAGGAACCCAGCCATGGGTTGCTGCCTGGCGGCTGCCTTGCCCCTGAGTAGGTCTGGGTGGGTGCCTGGGGGCTCGGGGTGTGGGGGCGGCTGGTCCCTTGTGGGGATCTGGGAGGGGACTTGGGGATGGGGTCCTGACTCGTAAGCTGCCGGGAAGAAGACAGGAACAAGCGGCAGTGCATGGCCTAGGCTCAAGGGCCTCAGGTGGACCTTGGCTTCTCTGGAATAATAACAACTCTGTCTTATCACGGGGGAGGGGGATGTTCAGGAGAGGGAGGACCCAACCTTACCTGGATGTCTCATGTCTTAAATATTCTGGAAGTTGTGCAAATGCAGGGATGGGAGTAGCTATTCTGCTGGGTTGGTGCCCTCGGACTCCGTGGGGCTCTGCGATGCCGCTGCTTTGGGCCCTGGCGAGATGGGATGGGGTCTCCATGCCCTGGGGGGCATTTTGGGAATGGAGGTGCCTATTGGGGCCAGTGGGGGGAGCTGGCTCCCTGGAGGGCTTAGGCCAACCAGGCATTCCTCCCCATCCCCACACATTTTCTCCTCCTGCTCCTTCACATCATCACACAATCATGCACATAGGACCTTGGGGGGTGGACAAGTCAGGGGGTGCGGCTATGGATCCCATTTTCACATTCCTGTGGCAACCTGCCCTCCAATTTTATTTGCACTTTAAACACTTCCACCGACGACATTCCACGCAAACACGCACTTAGGGTCTTAGGAGTGAGCACTTTCAATGGCACTTGGCAGGGGGATCTTTTAGCCTCATCCCGAGTGCTGGTGCCCACGTCCAGTTTTAATCTGCACTTAGACACAGAGGGCTGTGGGGGGAAGTGGGCTTGTGTGGTTGCATCAGCTGGCGTAGGCCAGACGATGCCTGCACTGCCTGTTCACCACAGCCATAGAATACACCTCATCAACACCCACTAACACTGTATTGGAGCAGGTGGAAGAAGACTAGGGGTCTTAACACACCTCCGTCGCTTGGCTTGCCAGGGCTAGAGGCTATGAGGGGGAGCTGGTCATCATGTTGAGGTCTGGGGTGGTGGCATGCTTTGCTCGGCGTTGGGCGGGGGTGCCTGCTCATCATCACCCCCAGCAGAAAGGGGCAAACTCTGGGAATCGGTGTTTGTTGTAACCATTGTGCAGCAGTACCTGGACCAGAGTGAATAGGGTGTGCAGAGTTTCCCCCAGATAATGAGTTAAGCCTGGCGGCTTTTTGGGGGGGTCGCATGAACACGCTGCAGTGCATAGCCCGCAGCGCTCCTCCATGAGTACGGGGGTGGGGTTGGGGTGGTTGCACATGTTCTGCTGCTGTTTCTCACCAGTATCAGCTGATGGAGGGCTCTACAGTCTCCCTGGGGTCCCTGTGCTCTGGGACAGCTCCTGGATCTCTGGGACTTGGAGCTCCCTCCATCTCCTACACATCTTTGGGGGGCAGATCTGTGACCCCTCACACTCTCTATTGTATGCTCCTATAGAGAAACCTTACACTTACAAGCGCATGTTCTTACACAGGTGCTCACATGGTGCTCTCATAAGTATGGACTTGGGTATTTTCAACACGTCTTAAGGCTGTGGTTGGCACTAAATGCACTGATTTATTATCGTGTGATTGTTCAGTAAAACAATGTTGATTTTATATTTCCTCATCAGGTTGACGCAGTGATAGCTTGATCTTGTTGTATTGTTGTGTGTTTTTTTCTCTTTCTGCAGGTTATTGATTGCTTATTCTTGTGAGACCCCCTCCCCCCTTGTTTCTTCCTTTCTCTTTCACCTCTGTCTCCGTGTCTGGTCAAAACTATAAAGCATTCAAAAACAATAACAATAAAGTTTTAAGTATCAGGTGTGACATTAAAGCAGAAGCTTTGATGCTCCACCTGAGAGTAAATCTGTAGGGCTTGTCACCAGCTTTAGACATTAATTCTGTTTGCTTCACAGCCAAACAGAACACAGGGGGGAGAATAAGGATATTCCTTTTGATCTCACAAAATTCATATATTATTCTATCTTGCAGGCTGGGACCAGCATTGCGTCCCTCTGCAGCAACTCTGAGGTGGCACAAGGTACCCAACCACAGTTGATTTGCATCGGCAATTTGAAGAGTGCAACTTGCCAGTACATTATTGTTGCAAGCAATGACGGTGTGACCATTCCAGTAAATGATGGCCTGACATGTGCATTGGACAAGCTGTTCAAGCTCTACTGGGTTTGCAACTTGGCCTATCCACCCCAGCTCAGCTCTGTGTTCACTTTCTTCGAATACATCTACGAAGTTACCATCTCAACCAACCGGAAAGCCAAGGTACTGGAACTGATCTCCAAGCTTCAAGCTGCACAGTAAAGCACTATCATGTACACATGTCCAAAGTGTAAACAATATCGACACAAGTCAAGAAAGTAATTTGGCATCTGCGTGAAGTTCATGCCTTATCAGATGGACAGGGTTTCACTATAATTTGCAGCCAAGAAGGCTGCCCTCGGACATATCAGAACTTCAATTCTTTTTCTAGACATCTTCAGCGGGACCACCAACCCACAACATTAATGGACACTGTGCCATTTCAGGCTCATGACAGCAGATCATCTGCCACATCTGAAACTAACACTTATAATATTGAGGAAACATCAAACGTTTCAACTGTACCATTAACACCTACTCTTTCCAGTGATTGTGTTGCTTCCTTTGTAGCAAAAATGTACTCTTCTTCAAACACAACTTTGATGGATGTAGCAAGAAGCATTACTTGCACACAAGAAGTACTTGAAAGAACAATTGACAGTCTACAACAATCGACAACTACATTGCTGAATAACTTCCAAGTACCACTTCATAGTGAGTCTGTCCAGTCATTAATGAGTGAATTTGAGAGTGCTAAACATATGTTTAAAGATGTTGACACACCTTTTAAAATGAATAAGTATTTCTTAGAAAATTTTGATCTCGTGAAGCCAAAATAAATATTTCTTGGTCATAGGGCAGACACAGCAAGAAAACAGGGACAAATGAAACAAGTGTTGGCAGCTGACACATGTCAATACATTTCAGTAATTTATACTAATACATTTTTATTCAGTAATGTCCAGATGCAGAAAGAATACTTGCAAAGTAACAAACAATTTGATGGTAAAATGCACAACTACTGTGATGGGTCACACTTTTCCTCTCACCCATTGTTTAGCAGATGTCCTCAAGCTCTTCAAATACAGTTGTATTTTGATGACTTAGAAACTGTAAACCCCTTGGGCTCCAAAACTTAATTTCATAAAATGGGTGCTGTTTATTTTGCCTTGAAGAATCTGCCACCAAAACATAATTCGTCCCTCTCACATATTCATTTATGTCTTCTTTTTAATTCTATGGACAGAGAGAAATATGGGTTTGGTAAGATTTTGGAACCACTGCTTGATGACATCAAACTTCTTGAAAGATCAGGTGTACAGGTAGAGAACCAAGGAGACAGTTATCAGCTCTATGGAACTATCTGTGTTTTGACTGCAGACAATTTGGCCGTCCATTCACTATGTGGGTATGTTGAGAGCTTTTCTGCAAACAAGTTCTGCCACTTCTGCCTTGTTGAAAAAAATCTTGCGCAGACTGTTTTTGATGAGGATGAGCTTGAGAAACGCACTAGAGAAAATTATCAGCAGCATGTCTGGCATAATGATCCTAGCTCAACTGGAGTTAAAGAAGACTCCTGTTTGAATAAACTGCAGTATTTCCATGTGACAGAACGCATGTGTCGACATTATGCACGATATTCTCGAAGGTGTAGCCCCTTTAGAGGTGAGATTAATGTTACACCACTTCATTTATGAAGAAAAGATATTTTCTCTTGAACTGGTTAATCATAGAATCACCAGTTTTGATTATGGATATGGAAATGAAAAAATAAGCCAAGTGTTATTCTCAATCTGAGAACTTCTGACAATGCAATTAAACAAACAGCATCACAAATGTGGTGCCTTTTGCAGGTGTTGCCCTTTTTAATCGGCAATCTTGTTGACAGGAAAAGTCAACATTGGCATTTGTTTATCCTGCTGAGGGAAATATGTAGCATTGTCTTTGCACCAACTGTCACACTAGGGCTTGCTGTATTTCTGAAACAGCTCATTATAGAGCACCATGTATTATTCAAAAAAATCTGACAGAAATTAGATTCTGGCAAGATGGTGCCGAGTATGGCTGCCTCGTCGCGAGCTCCACCAAGCAACAGCTGTTTTTTGTGTTTACTACTTTTTCTTTTTCTTTATTTTTTCACCAGTAGCACATGTATCCTTGTGTACGACCGACAAACCTCACTGGACATAAAAGACGGATTTTCTCATTACTTTCCGGAGTCCAGGGTTTTCATCACGGACCCGTCGTTTGCAGATCCCCCATTCATCTCACCTGAGACGCCTTTGTTATGGGCCCGTGGAGGCCGCAAGCGCCGACGCAGAGGGAGAAGATCTGGCGTTCTGGTTCGACTGAGACGACGCACTAACAGACCACCATTACCCAGTTTACTACTGGCTAATGTGCAGTCCCTGGAGAACAAGCTGTGCGAGCTTCGGGCTCGGATCTCATTCCAGCGAGAGATGCGGGACTGCAGCGCAATCTGTCTCATAGAAACCTGGCTATCGGACAAAGTACCGGACACCGCAGTAAAACTGCCGGGGTTCACCGTGCACCCCGCGGACAGGTCACAGGAGCTTACAGGGAAAAGCAGAGGCGGCGGTGTGTGTTTCATGATCAACAACACCTGGTGTGATTATGCGAACGTGCACCCGGTCAAATCCTTCTGCTCTCCAGACCTGGAGTACCTGATGATTAAGTGCCGGCCATTCTGGCTACCGAGAGAATTCACAGCGGTGATTATTACGGCTGTTTACATTCCCCCACAACTCGACACTGACCGAGCACTCAGAGAACTGTGCAGCGCGATCAGCAATGAGGAAACCGCACACCCAGAGGCGGCGTTTATTACGATCGGGGACTTTAATAAGGCTAACCTGAAGAAAGTCTCATCAAAACTACACCAACACATCCATTTCAATACACGCGGAGACCGGCTACTCGACCACTGCTACACCTCTTTCCGAGATGCGTACAAAGCCCTCCCCCGCGCCCCATTCGGCCAATCAGATCACTACTCCATCCTGCTTATACCTGCCTACAGACAGAAGCTGAAACGGGAAGCTCCAACCCTGAGGGCGGTGCATCGTTGGTCGGACCAATCGGAGTCTGCGCTGAAGGATTGTTTTGATCGGGCGGACTGGGAAATGTTTCACGCAGCTGCTAGAGACATTGATGAGTACACAGACTTAGTCTGCGGATTTATCAGGAAATGCGTAGAAGATGTTGTCCCATCCAGAACAGTTAAATCCTTCCCAAATCAAAAACCATGGATTAATGGAGATGTGAGAACGGCGCTGGCGGCACGGAGCACTGCCTTTGCCTCCGCGAACACATCAGACTACAAACACGCACATTACCAACTCCGGAAGACGATCAAAGCAGCCAAACGCGAGTACAGAGACATGGTGGAGCAACAGTTTGACAACCTCCGGAGTATGTGGCAGGGACTAACCACAATCACAGACTTTAGAGGGAGAACCAGCACACTGCAGACCACGGCCTCTCTGTGTGAGGATCTAAACGCATTCTATGCCAGATTCGACACAGCGAACACCATGAGACCGGACAGTGAGCGCACCGCGGATGACGTCAGTGCGCACACTGTGTCTGAGGAGGATGTGCGGAGGTGCTTCAGGAGGGTGAACGCACGCAAAGCTACTGGTCCGGACGGGATTCCCGGCCGCGTCCTCAGGTCATGCGCGGGTCAGCTGGCTGGAGTGTTTACACACATCTTCAACCTTTCCCTCTCTCTGTCTGTAGTCCCAGCCTGCTTCAAAATGGCCATCATTGTCCCTGTACCCAAATCCTCCACCATCTCCACATTGAATGACTGGCGACCTGTAGCCCTGACCCCCATCGTGAGCAAATGCTTCGAGAAGTTGGTCAGGGACTTCATCTGCTCTGCACTGCCCGATTCACTGGACCCTCTACAGTTTGCATACCGCCACAACAGGTCCACTGATGATGCCATAGCTCTGACACTCCATGCTGCCCTTTCACACCTGGAGAAGAGAGACACGTATGTGAGAATGCTGTTTGTAGATTACAGCTCAGCATTCAACACCATCGTTCCATCGAAGCTGGACAGGAAACTGCAGGATCTAGGACTGAGCAGCTCCCTCTGCAGCTGGATCCTTAACTTTCTGTCTGACAGATGCCAGGTGGTCAGACTGGGCAGCACCACCTCATCCCCCGTCACACTGAACACTGGTGCTCCGCAGGGGTGTGTGCTGAGCCCTCTCCTGTACTCACTCTACACCCACGACTGCACGGCCACGAGAAACTCCAACATCATTGTGAAGTATGCGGACGACACCACAGTGGTGGGTCTCATCACCAACGACGATGAGACGGCCTACAGGGAGGAGATCAGCGCCCTGACCCACTGGTGTCTCACCCTCAACGTCACAAAGACAAAGGAGATGATAGTGGACTTCCGGAGGTGCAGAGAAATACACACCCCCATCACCATCAACAGCGACGCTGTGGAGAGGGTGAGCAGCTTCCGTTTCCTTGGAGTTCACCTGACTGAGGATCTTACGTGGCCAGTGCACACGAACAATACAGTGAAGAAGGCACAGCAGCGCCTCTTCTTTCTCAGGAGACTGAAAAGATTTGGCATGAGCCACCGCATCCTCAGGACCTTCTATCGCTGTGCCATTGAGAGCATCCTCACTGGATGCATCTCCACCTGGTATGGCAACAGCACCGCTTACAACCGCAAAGCTCTCCAGAGAGTAGTGCGGTGTGCAGAAAGGATTACTGGAGGTGAGCTTCCCTCCCTCCAGGACATCTACAGGAAGCGGTGCCTGAGGAAAGCGGGGAGGATCATCAAGGACTCAAGTCACCCCAGCCATAAACTGTTCAGACTACTTCCATCAGGAAGGAGGTTCTGCAGCATCCGGTCCAGAACCAGCAGACTGAGAGACAGCTTTTTCCATCAGGCCATCAGACTGCTGAACACGGCGCAGACACCTCACCCTCACTACTGAAACTCCAACATTACACACTCCATACTGTACATTAATGCCACTGTTTTGCACATACCAACCTCTGTACATATCTCTTATTTTATTGTTTACTTTATTTATTTGTTAAATATGTATGTACGCATTATACACACACTCACATGCACACACGTAGAAAAATAAAAAATAAAATGCTTAGCACACACATTTAGGAATGTATATACCTGACATACTATACATATTATTACTTAGATCAGCCA